ATCTTAACTCATTTAACATTAAGGAAGAGAATGATTTTTCTAGAAGCCAAAAATGTACACTAGAGAAGGTGGTTTCAATTGTGAAACACTAATTTTTGAAACTGGCATCCAGATTATGCCCAAGGTGCTTTGTTTCCTTTTTATGAGTCAGAGGTATTTTCTAACAGGAGCAGTTCAAGACCTCCTTACTCCCTATCTTCCTTCATTTAGATGAGACAACAATTAGGGTCTGCTAAAGGCTACAGCTTCTAGGAGAAGAAAGGATTATAAACAATTCTGGATTAGGGATTTCTATTTCTAGGGTCTTGGCCTCTTTTTGGATTAATATCAAAGGTAGACAGCAAATCATACTGGTTGAATGTGAAGCTAGGCAACTTTGGCTCTGCCATTTACTAGCTGTACAAGCACCTTGGGCAAGTTATTTAACTTACCTTTGCTAGTTTCCTCATCTGCAAAGTGGGGATAAAACTACTTAGTTCATAGGGTGTTGTAGAGATTAAACAGGTTCATATTAATAAAGCTCTTAAAGTGCCTTGAACGTAAAACGTCAACTATTCTCTTTACGTACCTTGGCCCTTTCTTTTGAATTGCTTTGCACAGCTGCTTTTCCCATCCCTCTGACAAGCCTAGAGTGGTAAAATGGATCAGGGCTCCCTTCTGCTTAACACTCGATAGAAGGCCCAGGCCTGTCACACTTTGAACCAGGGTTGGGTTTATAGCAAACAAAGGATGAAGTGAATGGATGAGACCCACTAATAGGAAAAGAAGCATTCTCTTACTGTGTTTTGGGGCCTCTTTTCACTATCATAGGTAAAGATCTTGAAGGTATGGATGTAGGAGAAAAGCACCCGGATTAATTGGCCACCTTAGTGTAGGCTTTACAAAGGGAATCTTCCTGACTTCTTCATAATCCATTGCAGTTTACAGAGAACTCATATAGATTCAGGGCCCTGTGGGAATAAACCATGCAGTTCCTTGGAGTCTTGTCTCTGCATAGCTCCTTTAGGAGGCCTGGATGTCAGACAGCTGACGGAGGATTTATATATACAGGATTTTTCTCTGGCTCTGTTTCAACTTAGTAACGAGAAAGAGTCAGTATCCATTTAGCTGTATGTTTCATACAGCAACTTCATTTTCAGCATAATACTGAAAGTTCAGGAACACACAGACCATATTCCATTTTTAAAACTCAAGGTAATTAAAGGATAACTGTCTTTCAGATTAAACTCCACTAACAACAAAAGCTGAAAAATGGGGTTAGCCAAGATTTTACTGTATAAACGATTTATAGAGAAAGTTGTATTAGATAGAGAAAAAAAACCCCTGAATTATCTGATGGTTGAAAGAGCTTTTGACTTCTGATACATAATTATCACAAATGCTATGACAAACTTTTATAAAGACAATTAAAAAATCTGTTGAAATTTCCAGAAGAAACTTAAAAGTTTTACAGTGGAACTTCTAGTTGACCAAATTTCTATGTAATAAGCTTTTAAGGTTTTGTCTTGTTTAGTACCTTCATAACTTTTAAAAACTTTTTGAAAGCAGAATGTCTTCAATCTCTTACGTGGAAAATTTCCTTAAAGAGTTTATAAATGACGTATGCAAATCAACACTCAGGCCCTATAGTTCTGGGCAACTGTTATCTCCAACATCTTATTGTCAGGCTGACAGAAGATGATTATTAGGACTTTGTTTAATAGAGAGATGTTCAAGTACCACCCTTTTGTTGCATTATCTCTGTTTATTTTCCAAACAAGGATCCAAAGACTAATGGTTTGAAGATACTGAAATAGTGATGCCTTGAAATCAACCTCAGACAGTGCAAGGGTTCAAATCTCTGCCCTAACTTAATCAGACAAAATTAGAGTACTCCTAAGCTGTATTTAGGCACATATATTCGATTTTGTATTTTAACAACCAGAACAGTGTCAGTACAATAGCATGCAATAAAGATTTGATAGACCAATCTTTAGGTGCTAATCCTAGTGGTAAAAATGTCAGTGGCTTAGTTATAATTCCAGTGTGCTGAGATGCTAAATGTTTGCATTTTCTTTTTTTTTTTGCGGTACACGGGCCTCTCACTGTTGTGGCCTCTCCCGTTGCGGAGCACAGGCTCCGGACACGCAGGCTCAGCGGCCATGGCTCACGGGCCCAGCCGCTCTGCGGCATGTGGGATCTTCCCGGACCGGGGCACGAACCTGCGTCCCCTACATCGGCAGGCGGACTCTCAACCACTGCGCCACCAGGGAAGCCCAATGTTTGCATTTTATTTAGAAAATTCCCAAATTTACCACGAATACATACGTGCTATTGTGGCCAAAGTATTTATACTTCAACTCTTGTCGCAAAAGATTTCACAAGAGCAATTAACAGTCATTTAATAACAATCATTGAATCTGCCCATTTTAGAAATAATCTTTGAGCATTGTTTTATTATTTTGCAAAGACACAGTTCAAATAAAATCTTCCTACTTGAATATAACTTGTCTGTATCTTCACTGCAGGCACTAACAGTAAATTCCTGAGCTGAAGTGTCTGCTTTTCAACAGTTGTTTTCCTTTATAGATTCCTGTTAGTGTGTTTTCCCAGGACAGTAACTAAATTATTTAAAAGTTGAGCATTTTTTGATGTAATTTATCTCATATGAATATGAATCTTTGGATGAGAATTAACAAATTCAGTAACTAAAACCAGCTGTATTAGGCTCTAGAAAGAAGCAACATATATATTTTAGCCTACTAAGTTCTAGTACTGAATAACTTTCCCAGCACAAAGTTTTTGATTTACCTGAAGAAGGTCATGCAATGTAAGACATAAAAGCAGTTTATTTAAAACAGTAAGTTCTGTACATTTATTCTTTTAACATCAAAATATTCCATAAACAAATATATTAGTAAAATAACAATTTATCTCTTTTTGGAGAGAATATTTAATAATCAACATTTCACTTTATTGTAACAAATCTTTTATTGACTGAATGACTAAGGATGAGTCATCAGTATACTTCAAAATTTACTAGCATCAAAAATGTTCTAGACCTTCCCTGGTGGCGCAGTGGTTAAGAATCCACCTGCCAATGCAGGGGACACACGGGTTCGAGCCCTGGTCCGGCAAGATCCCACATGCCGCGGAGCAACTAAGCCTGTGAGCCACAACTCCTGAGCCTGCGCTCTAGAGTCCGCGAGCCACAACTACTGAGCCCGCATGCCGCAACTACTGAAGCCCGTGTGCCTAAAGCCCGTGCTCCACAAGAGAAGCCACGGCAATGAGAAGCCCGCGCACCACAATGAAGAGTAGCCCCCGCTCGCCGCAACTAGAGAAAGCCCGCGCAGTAACGAAGACCCAACGCAGCCAAAAAAAAAGGAAAAAATGTTCTAGATGAGAGGACATCCAGGGTTGCTTGTAGAATCCAATTATTCTTGAAGATAAATAGCTATCTTCTAAATACTTCAAAAATCAGTGAAAATGGAGGGGAACTCTAAAGAGTCAGTCTTGTTATTAAAACGAAATAGGTTAATCCTAAAGAATATGATTGAGGAAAACAAAATAAGTTGGTTTTAAGGTTATTTCTTAATATTCATCTTTCCTATGACATCAATATATCGCTATTTGCTTGGTTTAAAAACTATAAGTTTTTAGTTTCAGGTGAACAAAAGTGTTATACTAAAACTCCGTCTGTAACTTAGGAACAGACTTAACGCATGCACAATAACCAAAATAAGAGCTATCTTCCAAAACTTTACATTATCATGCACGTTTGTTGCTTTAAGATCATAATGAATTCTTTTAAGGTTGCAAACGTTGCCACTAGGCATTTATGGGGTGGGGCAAATTTGTCCCAAATGCACAGCGGACAGGAAGTAACGGGTTCTAAAAACGGGAAAGCTTCTGTCCTGTACAGGAGCTTAATGAAATTTGGCCGAATCTGCATTTCTTAATGGTTGACGTTCCCAAACCTTGGCCTCAGCTCCAGCTGGGCGATCGAGGCACGCCAGCAGTACAAAAATAAATTACGAGAAACGAGCGAAAGTTAAAATAAAGGTTGGGCCGTCCCTTCCTTGGGGTCGATGCTGAGGAACAGAAGCCGCAAGCGTGGCGGCTAGAGGTTAGCGGGACGCCGAGCGGGGCGGGGCCGGGGCAGACGCGGGACCCAGAGAAGAGATGGCGACCACGGGAGGCCTGACACCCGGGCGGTCTCGGACCACTTACCAGGCCAGGCCCAGGCACGTCCCCAGCGACAGAAGGCTCAAGCCGGTCCGGGGATCCGCCCAGCCCCCGCCTCCACCGCCCCGACCCTCGAGGCTCTTCCCGTCCTCGCTTCGCTTCCCAGGCTCCGCTGGGGCTCCCTTGGGCGCCGACCTCTTCCGGCTCTTCCCCTCAGACATGTCTGGAGGTCCTGAGGATGACAAACCCGGGGCTGCCTCTTCACCCTGGGGTAGCTAGACGTGGCCTCCTCAGCCTCCGCGGGAAGGCTCGGCGGTGACCGCGCCCCGTTTCAGACTTGGCACCGCCCAGAAACCAGCCCCCTTCCTCTCCCGGCCATCCTCCCTGCTCCACAGCGTCTCCCAGCCACCCGCTTTCTAGCTCCTCCAGCTGGGGTAAGCGGCAATCCTACTTCCCCAAACTTCTGCGTTAACGCTGCAAAAGCGAGGAAACCGTGGCACCCGGGCTTCTGCAAGCCGCCGGGACGCGGGGGTGGCGAGGCGGGGCGGGGCGGGGCAGCGCGCGTCGAGCGCGCCGCCGCCTCGGTCCGCCCTTCGTTGGAGCGCGGCGCGCCCCCGTCGGTGCGGCGGAGGCTTTTTTCTGCGCGCGCAGGCACTAGTCGGATCCGGAGCGCGCGCAGGCACTAGTCGGGTCCGGAGCGCGCGCGGCGACGGACGCCTGGAGGGGTTCCGGGTGTGTTTCTTGGCATGCGTGGGCCGGCGTCGTCCCAGGGGGGCGGGCTGGCGGGTTTTCACTGCTCCACGGTCCTGAGGCGGAGAGGCTGGCTTTATTCCTGGGCAGAAGGGGTGAGGGAGCCGGAGGTGAGGCGTCTGGGCTGTCAGCGACCCGCGAGGACTTGAAGTAGACGCGGCGGCGTCCGCAGTGGCTCCGGGCTCCCGCCCGGGTGCAGCTGCAGCGGGAGGGAAGGAACGACAGTCCGAGTGGCGCTCCTTCCTTTGTGTCTGGGTTGGAATACTCATCTCGGCGCCACGGGACTGCGTGGGCCGCCTGCGGGGGTGACGCCTCCTCCGCAGGTCGGAGATTCCCGGGGGTCTTCAGGAGCCCCCCCGGCTGCGGAGGCCCAGGTGAGACACCTGTGAGGCCCCGACCTGCCCCCGGGCTGTGGCCCGAGCCCCGAATTTCCTTTTGGAAGTCCCGTTGCCTCCACTCACCCCTACCTTGATTTTCCGGTCTGTCCCTTCAGGGCTTCTCTTCCCAGTGAAGACCCAGGTGTGAAGGTTTGGGTAACTTTGCGCCTCGCTTTTCTCCCCGAACCCGGTTCTTCGGAGGTTCGGTAGTCGATTTTAGAGACTCAGAATTCTGGGTCAAGGAATTATTATTAATCATTCTGATACTGTACCAGGAAGTGAAATTATCTAAAGAGGAAATGGTCAACTATTACGGTTTTCCTGGATGAAGCTGTTCTTTATATTTCACAAGCCTGGAGAGTACTGACTTTACATGTTGATGTGGTTACGGAAGGTGGGACACTGAGAATTTGTTCAGAATATCTAAATGTGTACAGAGTTAAAAAACGTATAAAACTTAACGTCTTTAGTTTTAATAGGGCTAGGTAAAGTTGGAAATTAGTTTCAGGTGGTCAGAGTGTGTCTCTTGCCTTAGCTATTGGACAAAAGCTAAAAAGTTCATTTTTGTTTTGTTAAATAGTTTTATTACTGAAAAATTAAGGGACGTTTTAATATGATTTTTTAAAAAGTAATTAGTTTATTATTTATTTTTGGTTGCATTGAGTCTTTGTTGCTGTGCGTGGGCGTCTCATTGCGGTGGCTTCTCTTGTGGAACACGGGCTGGGTAGTTGTGGCTCACGGGCTCTAGAGCGCAGGCTCAGTAGTTGCGTCGCATGGGCTTAGTTGCTCCGCGGCATGTGGAATTTCCCCCGGACCAGGGCTCGAACCCGTGTCCCCTGCACTGGCAGGGGGGTTCTTAACTACTGCACCACCAGGGAAGCCCGGGACGTTTTATGTTTAACTTGAGATCATAAAAACACTAACATTTAAAAATGTAGCCTTGATCCTAACCATAACTTGTTCTTTTATCAATCAGTTTCATGCCAGTACTGGGCATTTTGTGAACCTTGACAAGCATAGGCAAATTCTCTACTTACCTGTGTTTGAAAGTGACACATTCGGTGGTACTTTTTATAGTCATTATTGATTACTGATTAATGAAGCTTAATGATTATTGCTCCTCTTCTGTGTGCTCAAAATTACTTGTGCTTATCCCTTGGCGCTTAGTACATCACATTATAATTATCTGTATTTTACTCTCCTACTAGATTGTGAATTCCTTCAGGGGTATGATTTAATCTCTGTAGATTGAGGGCCTGACACACAGGAGGGGCTCAAATGTTTATTGAATGAGTATATAAATAAACACATTTAGACACTCACTGTATTACATTGGATAGATTCTGTTTAAAAACTTGAAAATGTTCTGATCTGGGTTTTATACCTATTGAAAAATTTGCATCATATTTGAAATAAAGTCGGTAGGAACTTAGAGTATTATACTGTGAAGAATATTATTCTTTGTGTCCTCCTAGTCTAAGAAATGACATCAGAGGATATTTTCTGTTGCTTTGTCATAGTTAGCAGCTCAGCTGAAAAATTAGTGGAGTAAGCACATGAGAAATGTGTTTACCAATGAAGACCTACCAGCTGACACTCATCTTGAGTGAGAACTAATACTCAATACCAAGAATGCTCTATTTAGTCTTAATGATGGTAAAGAAATCAAGTAGTTTATAAATATTAGGACTTTAGTATGACCATTGTTTATAAAATCTTAAAGGAAGTTTTAAAATTGTACAAATGATAATGTGTATTGAAAAAATATTAAGGTAGTATAGAAAAGAAGAAAAAAGAATGGGGGAAAATTCCCCCCAAATCTTGCTACTTGGAAGTAACCCAAACATTTTGTTGAACAGACTTCTAAACATCTCTCTATGCATTTATATGAGACCAACACATATTTTGTGCTATACATGGTATCATATTTAAATTTTTTTCAATCAGTGACGTGTCACGAGCACCTTTCCATGTCAGTACGTGGAGATGTCTTATTTTAAATGGCTATATAATATTCCATCTTATGTACATAGTCTTTTTTTTTTTTTTTCCGGTACGTGGGCCTCTCACTGTTGTGGCCTCTCCCGTTGCGGAGCACAGGCTCCTGACGCGCAGGCCCAGTGGCCATGGCTCACGGGCCCAGCCGCTTCGCGGCGTGTGGGATCTTCCCGGACTGGGGCACGAACCCGTGTCCCCTGCATCAGCAGGTGGACTCTCAACCACTGCGCCACCAGGGAAGCCCCATACTCTAATTTTTTTAATCCATACTCCGAATGATGGGCATTTAGGTTGTTCTAATATTTTTATCGCACTCTCTATTAACCCTTTTTGTGGATATTTTTGCATACATATATGAGTATCTCTCTGAGGTAAATTCCTAGAAGTGGGATTTCTGGGTTAAAGAGAATGCTTACTTTAAACACATCTTAACTTATATAGCCTTCCAGAAAAGTTGCATCCACTTTGTACTCTCCTCAGGTATCTTAAAAGAATAACCATTACCTCACACCTTTGAAAGCATTAGATTTTGTTTATTTAAAAAAAATCTTTGCATGTCTGGCTGATGAAAGTCCACTGGGGAAAGCCAGGACATAGATGAAGCCCAGGGGAGGACAGAGTGACTGGCGGTGCAGACAGCCTGCTCGTTTTCTTTTCGGCGTCCCCCTTCCGTCCTTTCTGTGGGCGGACACGTAGGAGAGTTTAAATAAATAGGAAAAAAAAAAACTTTGCAAAAGAAGTCTTATTTTCTTTACATTTTTCATTACCAGTGAGGTTATACATCTTTTCATATCTTTATTGGCTTGACAAATATTTTGATGTTTGCCTGTAGCTCATGGTTGACAGAGAAGGAAAAATTTGAGGGAGGATGGATGCAAAAGCTCGAAATTGTTTGCTTCAACATAGAGAAGCCCTGGAAAGGGACGTCAAAACATCCTACATCATGGATCACATGATTAGTGATGGAGTTTTAACAGTGTCGGAGGAGGAAAAAGTAAAAAATGAGGTAAAGCCCTCTGAGGCAGTCTATGCTTTATTAAAAATTTTTGGAATTTATTTCAAAACTTGTACTGGTCTCCACTAATTTATGTTGCAAATATATTCTTTGTAGTATACTAAACTACTTTTTTTTTTTTTTTTTAGCCCACCCAACGGCAACGAGCAGCTATGCTAATTAAAACGATACTTGAAAAAGATAATTATTCCTATATATCATTCTACAATGCTCTGCTACATGAAGGGTATAAAGATCTTGCCTACCTTCTCCATGGTGGCATTCCTGTCCTATCTTCTTCCAATGGCAAAGATTCAGTTGGAATAACTTCATATGGTTTGTATCCATGATACTTTCTATCATAAAGGCTCCGTTGCTGCAGTTTTGTCTATTGTAGATGAAATCTGCTAGAGAGACTGATCAGTTCACTGAATCATGCATGTGAAAAAATTATCGTTTTCCAATTCAAATATTTTTATTTGCATCTATGTTACCTCTCTCATTTCCTTGCCCAGTGAACTATCTACTGCTGAGGTAATAATATACATACCATAATTTTTAGAGATAATATGGCAATTTATAGTCCTTTATTTAAGTTCTTCAGTTTTGTGTTTATCAAGTTCAAGCATAGGAAAGAATAAGAATCTTTAGAAATCTGTGTTCTTGAAGGCAATTCCATATTCTTTCCTTTACACTCTCTTCTCAGTTTTTAGTATGAGAAAAAGATTGGAGAGTCAGGGAGGAATAGGGTGAGTAAGGGCAGATACAGATGGAGATTTTCATTGTCTTTAGTCATCTTGAGAGATATATGTTTGCTTTCGTTCTGGGTGTTCTGAGAAATCAAAGTTGAAGTTAATATGCTAGCCACATTTTCTTATTTCTCTTGGAAATTCTGAGGCTGAGACCTCAGCCTTGCTCTCTTTGGTTTTTATGGTATTACTTGAGTAACCATTTCAGTTCTCTTCATTCATGTTTGTTTTGTTTTGGATTTCAGTAAGGACAGTCCTGTGTGAAGGTGGAGTACCACAGAGGCCCGTTGTTTTTGTTACTAGGAGGAAGCTAGTGAATGCAATTCAGCAGAAGCTCTTCAAACTGAGTGGTGAACCGGGATGGGTCACCATATACGGAATGGCAGGTTGTGGGAAGTCTGTATTAGCTGCAGAAGCTGTTCGAGATCATTCTTTCTTAGAAGGTAAGTTTTGATTACCATTGCTGGCTAAGAAGATATTGTTTAGGCATTGCATTGGTTTCCTGTTGCTGCTGTAATAAATTACCAAAACTTTTGGGGGCTTAAAACAACACAAATTTATTATCTTGAAGTTCTGGAGGTCAGAAGACAAAAATAGCTCTTACTGAGCTAAAATCCAAGTGTCAGCAGTGCTTAGTTCCTTTTGGAGGCTCTAGGGAGAATCCTTTTCCTTGCATTTCCCAGCTTCTAGAGGTGGCCTGCATTCCTTGACTCATGGTCCATTTCCCCATTTTCAAAGCTGGCAGTGCATAGCATCTTCAAATCTTTCTCTCTTCTCTGGTCTTTGCTTCTGTCATCACATCTCCTCCCCTGACTTTCTTGCCTCCCTCTTCCAGGGGCCCTTGTGATTACATGGGGCCCACTGGATAATCAAGGATTATCTCATCTCAAAATCCTTAATTTAATCGCATTTACAAAGTCCCTTTTGCTGTGTTAGGTGATATATTTACAAATTCTGTGGAATATGTTGTGGAGATCATTGGCTGGTGCGGGGGAGCAGGGTGGGGGGGCATTTTTCTGCCTACCGCAGGTGATTGAATTTGAATTTTATTTTCTGCCCTGCCTGTCACAATCAGGCTTGACTAGCCAGGCCAGTAAATTCATGTGTTACCAGATGGCACTTATTATCAATGGAATGAAGCTAGTTCCCTTGTATCTTAATAATTGGGGGAATTGTAGGGTTGACAAAGTATCTTGAAAGGTTGTCCAGCTTGTATCCCTGACTTTCAACAGTACTAGACTTACAGCTTCCTGTCAGTTGAGTGTCTGTTTTGGCACAGAGTGCTGTAGGGAAGGAGATTGTTGGAAAGTCGGTTCCAATAAGGACCATCCCAGTGGGAGATTCTCCCATGTATTTGGCATCTGTATTAAATAAACTATTAATTCCATTTCGGCAATTAATTCTATCAGTTATTTATCTTTAAAAATAAAAATCTTTAGTAACTTGTTTATCTTATGTGTAATCTCAAGAAAAAGAAAAATTGGGAGTTGACTGTAACAACCAATGGGTTTTTGCAGGCAGGCTTTATAGATTCATTTGACATCTGGCAACTGATTTCCCTTGCTTCAGATATTCATGTATTCAATAAACACTTGAGAACCTATTATGGATCTTGGCACTGTTTTGGGGCAAAAGGGATTCAAAAAGAAGCCTGTGCATCTAAGGAATTTACTTACGGTCTGGTAAGGGAGGCAGACATACAAACAAATTACGTCATGTGTGATAAATTGAACAGTAGAAACAAGTATAAGGTACAAAGTTAGAACAAAGGAAGGAAGCTTTCTGTCTGGGGGAAGAAAATGAACAAGACAGGCTTCCTGAAATGACATTTTAGCTGGAGTTTGAAGGAAGAATAGAAAGAAGTTTGCAAGGCTGACTAGGCAAGGATGGGAGAGTAGAGAAGGTGGGAAGGGTATTGGGTAGTTACTGGAGTGGGAAAGGACATATGGTGCAGAAGAGGATTTAGGACATTTGGCAGGTGCACTGTTGACCCTAATGAGTCTGGTAGGTTCTCAGGGTATTCCCTATCAGGAATATTATATAGCTTCCTCAGTCTTTGGTTGCCTCCATCCATTTTCTGGGGAACTTAAAAAGATAGTTCCTGACTTCTAGTGCTTAATAACTTTTTTTTGTTTACAATATATAATCACCAATTAAGATAGTTTATGACGGGCTTCCCTGGTGGCGCAGCGGTTGAGAGTCCGCCTGCCGATGCAGGGGACACGGGTCTGTGACCCAGTCCGAGAAGATCCCACAGGCCGCGTAGCGGCTAGGCCCGTGAGCCATGGCCGCTGAGCCTGTGTGTCTGGAGCCTGTGCTCCACAGCGGGAGAGGCCACAACAGTGAGAGGCCCGCAAAAAAAAAAGAAAAAGAAGATAGTTTATGACAAGATGACAAAATGAATAGAATAAATAGTCAGCACCTGAGAGATTTAGAAAAATGGAGGCTAGGGCACATCTATTGTACACACCTGGTTTTAGTTAATACTTCACAGCCCTTGTTAACAGTATTGATCATACTCTTGTCAGAAGTAGGCCTAATTGCTAAGCCCTGGTTTTTCTCCTTTGTCATTGTTAAGAAGTTTCATGAGCCTCAGAGCCATGCACATTTCAGGGCTAAGGATTTATTTATTTATTCACTTTTTTTCCCCCCTCTTCTGCAAAGTTGATCACCAAGGATATTTCAGGATAAAATTGGCTTAAATTTCTTTAGTGTGAAGAAATGGTCTTCCTTTCAATATAGTGATGAATTTCCTTTAAACTATGTATTTATAATATACCAATTTATAGGGTTAAAATGTGCTCTTTAAATCAGTTCTAATCGCTCTATATTATTGGGGTGAATTTTCAATTTTAGGGGTTAAAATTGACCAACAACTTATGGAATTAACTAGCCAGGAATCATATTGTATAAATTGTGGTCTCGGAATAGATTTTCACCACTTTGTTTTGAGAAAATGCCAGAGATACTAGCAATTGTCCAGTACATAATGAGCTTAATTCATATTCCTTATAAGCTCTTGTGAGATCTCAAGTACAGAAGATTGAGTAAATCATATTTAGTTTATAGCCCATTATCCTATTAGGTCTGTCTAAGACTTAGCTTCTTGCTGTGTTTATTTCCTTTTAAAAATTTCCCATTCTCATTTCCCTTCTCTAAAGGAAAACACACTCCTCCTATGTGTTTCCTTTACACAACTACAACACTACTTCATTTCTGACACCAGATGTGTGAGTTTTCCACACATCCAGCAATTCTTCAACACGAGCTGGGTGTCCTATGATTTAATTCACTTCTGAAACTATCTACCTGGAGATAGCATCAGATCCCATAGGTTAAGGGTTCAGTCCTACAAGACTGCCCCCTAACCCCTTCATATGCCAATTGCCAGTCCAGGTTGGTTGTTACCTGTGCTTCTGACAACTATACTTATTAGATTACTGGTTTATTATACAAGGATAAAACTCTGGAACAGCCAGATGGAAGAGATGCATGGGGCACGGTATGTGGGAAGGGGTGTAGAGCTTCTGTGCCCAATTTGGGTGTATCACTCTTCCTACATCTCCTTGTGTTCAGCAACCCAGGTGCTCTGTGAATCTCGCCCTTTTGGTTTTTTTATGGAGTCTTCATTCATTATGTAGGTATGATTGATTAAATCATTGGCCGTTTGTGATTGAACTCAATCTCCAGCCACTCACTCCCCTCTCCTCTGGAGGTATGGAGGGTGGGGCTGAAAGTTCCAACTCTAATCAAGGGGTTGGTTCCTCTGGTAACCAGCCCCCATCCTTAGGTTATCTAGGGGCTTTTCAGAAATCACTTTATTAACAGAAACTCAGGTGTGGTTAAAAGGGGCTTGTTACATGAATAATGTAAGACACCATTTCACTTTTATACCCTGGAGCTATTTCAGGAACAAAACTAAATAGTATAACAAAAGATGCCCCTAAGGCTCTTATATGGGAAATTACAAGGATCTTAGAGCTGTGTGCCAGGAAGAGTGATGAAAACCAAATATATATTTAATCACAGAATCACACCTCCCCATAGGTGATCTTTCTAATGTATTTATTGTATATTCTTTGTAAATGTATGTGTAATGTACGTTTTTTTGTAAAATGTTTGTTTATATGTAAATATTTTAAATTTGCATACATGTTAAAGTTAATTATTTTCTTCTGTTTCTTATCTCACTTGACACTATGTTTTTAAGATTTATCCTTGTTGTATGTACATATTATTTGTTACACCTGATTGCTACCCTCCATGGGGTACCTCGAATACATTTTATTGTTCATTCCCTAGTTAATAGATATATAGATTGTCTCCAACTTTTTGCTGCCCAGCAAAGCTTGGTTGAACTTTTACAGAAATGAGAATTTCTTGAGTATATGTAGCTAGGACCAGAATCTCTAAGTTACAGGATATATAAATATCAAATTTGATTGCCCTCCAATCTGTGCATTCCCATCAATAGCATGTGAGGGCTCCTGTATCCTCACTTCTTTAGTGACACTAGGTATCATCCAGCTTTGTAATTTTTGCCAGGCCAGTAGGTGTAAAGTGATATCTTTTAATTTGCATTTCTCTGATAACTTGAGCTTGACCATTTCTTCATAAGCTTTTTAGGCTTTTGGGTTTCCTTGTTTATAAATTTTGTTGATAACATTTGTCGGTTTTTCCATTTTGTTGCTTTTTAGGAGTTTCTTATATATCCTAGATAGTAGGGCTTGTTGCTTTTAGACTTTGTAAATACTTTCTCCTTATATTATCTGTATTAATTTTGTCCTGGATGTCCTTGATAGAAATCTTTATTTCTGATGTAGTCAAATTAATTTTTTTGCCTTCTAATTTGTGTTTCCTGAATTTTCTTAAGTAGTCCTATTATAGTCTTACCATTCATATTTAGCTTTTTTAAAAAATAAATTTATTTATTTTATTTTTGGCTGCGTTGGGTCTTGGTTCCTGCACTCAGGCTTTCTCTAGTTGTGGCGAGCGGGGGCTACTCTTGGTTGCCGTGCGTGGGCTTCTCACTGCAGTGGCTTCTGTTGTTGCAGAGCATGGGCTCTAGGCGTGTGGGCTTCAGTAGTTGGGGCTCGCAGGCTCTAGAGTGCAGGCTCAGTAGTTGTGGTGCACAGACTTAGTTGCTCCGCGGCATGTGGGATCTTCCCCGACCAGGGCTCAAACCTGTGTCCCCTGAATTGGCAGGCAGATTCTTAACCACTGCACCACCAGGGAAGCCCCATATTTAGCTTTTTAATCTATTTGGAGTCTGCTTTTGTATATCCACTAGTTCAAGAGTAGATACTTTCCTAAAGAAAAAAATTTTTTTTTTTTTTGGCCGTGCTGCGTGGCCTGCAGGATCTTAGTTCCCTGACCAGGGATTGAACCCGTGCCCCCTGCAGTGGAAGCGTGGAGTCTTAACTATTGGACTGCCTGGGAAGTC